GTCAAGTAAAATTCTCTAGAAGAGTGTGAATTATTCACTTTGTACAAAGAAAAGCTATAAATTAAGTATAAAACCAAAATATTGAAGTTAGTTCCTGAGACTAAAGTTTGTGAACTGCAAAACATTAGTTGAAAAATGACCTAGGAAATAATTACAAATTTAAGAAGAATTTAAATACATTTAAATTAAGTTATGAATGCTGAATTTATATTTAAAAAATTCACTAGTGCTAAGGCAGGAATTGTCAGTATATAATAAAATGTATATATCTATGTTACAATATCTAATACATGTATAATAATAATGACAATATTATTAATAATAATGAAAATATTAATATCCTCTTTGTAATGTTAGGAAAGACTTTGGTATACGTGTCCTAAGGATTTGATGTGACTCTGGTGACCACTACCTGACCCACTAGACCAAAGAACAAGAAAATAAGAAGCAAAAGGTGGTTTTGCTTATCTAAAATATCATACATAATCTGAACTTTATGAAAAATATTGAACTTTTTGCGAATTAAGCCCATCATTTTGGCTAATGTCAGATTTGTTTGTGTATAAGTGACAGTGATTTGCTTTGAAGTAAAACATTTAATTATTTGTCTGTCTTTGTTTTTGGCTTTGTTTTTAATTTACATCTTTTCTATTCCTCAAACTTAGAAAGAAGAGAGAAGCTTTTCATTTTAAAAAGGAATGATAATAATTTAGTTTGTACAATAACAGCAAAGAAGTGCAATGACCTTATTGAGTTTTTTTTCTTTTATGAGAAGTGAAAAGTTGAAGGTTGTTTTAGTTTTAATTAATATGTCATTTTGTTGAACATATTTTGTCAACTGATGGTTTTCTGTTTATAGTGAAAATTGCTGTTTTGCTCTGGATTATTATGTTACTTCACCTAGCTTTCAGTGATTTTATTTGTATAGTTTTCGTGCTGGCAAAATAGAATATGGAAACAATGACAATTACAGGTATACTTTGGGGATTGAATTTAAAGAACAAATTTTACTAACTATATTAGAAAATAAAATGTTTTTATGTAGATATTAGCATCAAAATTGCTTTCATGAAAATGTTCTAATGAAAACAACCTTGATTTTTATTGGCCTGTTTTCTTTTTTAAATCACACTATGAGGGAATGATCAAATCAAATATGAAATATAGAATAATTTAACAGGCTTAATCATCTTGCAGATAAGATAGAAATGTTTCTGTGATTACCCTAAGCGTCCATGCCAAGTTGAGTTTTCTACTGTAAGCACTGTCCTATTTTCACTTTGTTCTGTTTCTCCAAAGAAAGTTAATGGAGTTTTTAGGAAAGTTTAGGAAAGTAGAATCATTGCTTTGAAAGGGGAATTTTAAAAATCCTTGATCACACTAATTCAGTTGCCACTTCAGCTACTGATATAATTCCCTTCAGAGTGACCTGACCAGAGCTCAGAGAATACACATTTTATATGTCAGAACACTTGATCCCCCTAAGGATCAGGAGAATATTTCTTAGGCCTACTACAGATACTGAAAAAAGGGTTCCTTTAAAAGGTGTTTTCGGGCCAGGTATTATGATGCATACCTTTGAATCCAGCATTCAGAAGAGGACTCAAAAGGATCTGTGTGAATTTCAGGTCAACCTAGATGGCTTAGTGACTTCCAAGCCAGCCAGGGTCACATTGAGACCCAGCCTCAAAGACAGAGAGATGGTGGGGAGGGTGCAGATACACTATCACTTATTGCTTATATTTTTGGTTGCAGATAATAGATAACATTTGGATATTTCTAGTTTACAAAATGTATACCACTAGTGTCAGTGCTGATGTGTATGTCACCATCAGTGTGTGCTTGTGGGTTTCACACATCCAGGGCTAGGCAGCTGTGCTCATCCATGTAGCTGAATAGAGAGTTCAGTAGCTTGGTCTCCACTCCTCAAAGATAATGCAGTTTTCCTTTTTAATTAAGCCTTTAACAAATCTAATGTAGCCTTGATGACTTCTTCCTAATTTTCCTAAAAACAAATGACTTTTAATGTGAAAACATGTAAACAAACATTTCACCTTTCTTGTATGTAAATTCTATATAACTACATTTTATAATTTCCTTTTGCCAACAAGTGCCATTGGTATATTTTCTGAATTATGTGGACTCCACACTCATTTTTGAATGGACAATAAAAGTAAAACCAGAGTATGATACTTTTGATTATGTGCACAGTTAACAACTCAAACTAATAAATCTAAAACTTCCTTTCTCTTTCACCTTTCATTCCCTCCTTCCATGCTTCCCTCCTTTATCTATAACCCATAATCACTGTTCCATAAAAAATACAAGGAAAACCAGAATGTGATATTTATTTTCGTTATGATTCATAATCATCAGCTCAAAATGAACTTTTTCTGTCTTATTCCTTTTAATCCCTCCTGTCATCTTCATGCATTTCCCCTGAGTATTCCTGTCACTCTTCATGTTGCCATCATCCTCTTTGAAGAAATAAAAATATTTTGAATAGGGTCAAATACACTTTAGAAATAGACAATAAGGGCTATTTGTGAAGATGATTATAAACTAATAACAGGGACAAATATTCTCAGTTTAAAGTCAACACAAAATAAATGCTTCAATTTAGTTAACTCCTATGATTAATTAAAACATTTAGTTTCCATTATGGAACATGGTAATTATTGTCCAGAGTCTCACAACTTCACACACCTATAGAGAGTTGGTTGTGTGTGATAGTTAGCATGGTCCTCCCATTTCTTGTTGTTTCATTTCATAATGTTTTGTGGCAATTTTTGTATTTAATAACAGAGTAAATTTTCTTCAGCCTACTGCAAAATGAGTATGAGAAGAGTTTTGTCTTTTCCCCTTAATAAATCAAAAGAAATACTATGGGATTGAGTAAAATGTAAGTTGAATTAAGTATACTATGTTTAAAACTGTAAGGCTTCTATGTTCAAATTATTCCATGTGTTGCTTTGTCTTTGATCTCTATTTATAAGTATCCTAGAGATTGAGGACAGTGCATGGGATTTATTGAAAAAATAGAGTGCTTAGCAATGGATTAACATTTAGTGTGTTTTTATCCTAAAATCCAAAGCTAGCCTGTCTGCCTATATAAGTCAAAAAGATAGGGCAGGTTCATCCTTATGCCTTCCTTCTGATTCTATTCTAGTTATCTGCTTCATTAGTTGAGAAAGTTATCAATTTAAGAATTGTAAAAAGAAGGATTTTTTTGTATAATGTTGTAATCTGGGGAAAAAAGATTGGCGAATTGCTCCTTTTGTAAATGGAGGCTGCCTGGATTCTGTGAGTGGCACTTGATGAGATATGTCTAGCATTTTTGGATCTGCTGTAGCTTTCTGACTTACTCTGTGCAATGAAAAGAATAATTTACAATCACTTGGATGGGAAACATGTTTTCTCTTGGAAGTCAGCTCCAACTAACTGAAGCGACTTCTTGCAGACCTGTGCTCACAGACTTCCACTTGAAGTGTGGACAGGACAGTGCAGAAAAATAATAGAACTATGGGATTACTCTGCTGAGCTGTAATTGTGTTGCTGTTAATATGGACAGTGTTATAAACACACATCGTACTGGCATCCCTCCATGTTGTTTAGTTACCATGTAGATGAGAAAGGTTGAGGACTGTGCACACTATCTTTTGGTTCCCATGGGAATACAGCCCTATTGATTACCAAAAGGAACCAAATCATATAAATAAAAAAGCACAGTATTCATTTGCTGCCACTTCTTCAAAAATGGAATAACTATTTAATTTTCCTTGAAGAGTTCTTCCCTTTAAAGTAATGACTAGTTGGGAATTGGAAATATAGTGATGATGAGGGCAAAAAGACTATTCCAATGATCAGTCTAATTAGTTTGTTTGGTAAATATGGCATGTTTTCTTCACAGTACTTCAAATGTTTTGAGTGGGTTTTAATATACTGTATTTAGGTGGGTATATGCAATCATATATAAGAGTATCCACAGGAGTAGGAAATTGATGTGCAAGATTAATTTACTATAGTCTTTAACAAATATAGGATATAAAATTTTAAAGAAAAATAATGGAAAAGTAAGCATAACATTCTTTTTTGGGGAAATAAATCCAATTAATGTATTTTCAGAAGTAAAATATGGACACTAAATACTAACTTCTAAATATTTCTTGAACTCAGATTATCTGTTGGCACAATGGCACATAAAAAATGTGCTGTCATATATGTTGAGCTTAATCAGAATATGTAAACACATACATTAGGGATAGCTTTATTTGCTTAATTCCTAGGATGTAATTAGATCAAGTCCAAGCCACTTTTCTTGTTCTGCCTACCAGAAATTTGCAATTGTGGCATGACACAGAAGGTAAGCTGTGTAATGGGAGGATATTACACAGCTCCTATTGAGACACTGCCTCTCCGCTGCTAGAACACATCATAAACCCTGATCACACAAATTGTGAATCTGTGCTACTCCAAAATAAACAAAGTCAGTTTTATTGTACATATAAAGGAAACTTGACCCTGGCAAGTGCTCAGTGTGTTAAGTGACAAGCTACAGTTGTAACTTACTTACTTAAAAAAGTAGTATGAATTTGACTTTTCAAAATATGTGCTCTGTGCATTGAAACTCCTCACGTGGGCTAGCATCCATGGCAAAAACCTGACAGGTACTCCTGTCTGTGTTTAACTCTTCTCTAAGTGACGTCATTTACTGTGTACTGGAAAACAATTTAGAAAATCATGTTAGTCTACAAAGCACTTCAGATGAGGCAACTCCATGAAGCATTCCAAGATTATCACAAGGAATTGCTCTCTTGTGCCATAAAAGAAAACTGAGACGAATATGGCCTCCTGAAGGAGTTACAGTTTGACAGCCCCTCCCACAGCAGCACTAAAGTCACCCAGTGACAGTTAGCACTGGTTAGCACTCACGGGTTGAAGGCACAACAGTTGCCACACTCTGGGTGTGTGGAGTCATTCGTATGTGTCTCTCTCAGCCGATGATGAGGGTTTCAGAACCTATACTGGACATGGATATGGGAAACTACAGCGAAGTTTTGGATCCAACTTACACAACTTTGGAGTTTGACACTATGCAGATTCTGTATAATTCCAATGGTGAGTTCTCATATGCTCCTATGGAAGAGGTATCTGCCCCCGAGGAGAAGGAAGTGGAGCTCCTTGAGGTGCTGGTTTAGCTTCCTTGCTGTGGAATTCATGAGCTGTTTTATGTCCACAAATCTGAGACTTTGTGCATCATCACAAAATTTAAATTCATGTTGCCATAGCTGTTTAATATTAGAGGGAGAACAGCTTATATTTGTGTTGTATAGTAACCTCAGAATTCTATATAGACCTTAGTTTCAAGGGGCTATTTTATTTGCTGTACATCATAGGAATAAGTAATTTTGAGAGGTTGGCCTTGAAAATACATTTTCTCTACAGTGTTTAAAGTGGATTATGGACATCTTTACATAGAATGCTGGGGAGTTTAGTGAGTTCCCCCTTCCTGTCATCATTTCAGTACTTCCTTGCTGTTTATGAGAAATTACACTTAAAATTATTGTTCCACCTCTTCACTGGCCACCAATATAAAAAGAAATGAAGGTTTATACTATAACCTCAGGTGGCAGGCTAATGTTTAGCTTCACAGAGCTCTTGGCATTTATCTATTGTAACATTTTAACTTTAAATAAGACAAGGATTGTTTGGGGTTTGGGTCTTTATGTAATAGAGTTTAGCATTCACTCTGAATGTATATTCCTTTTTCTAAGGAGAAAGCTTACTCAAGACAGGTGGTAACTTCTATGACTTATACTTATTATGCTAAGGGAAAAGTGTGTACATGTTTCTGTTTTTGTGTCTCCATGCATGCTTGTGTAGTTCAGGATTTGGGAATCATCTGATGATTGTATTAATATTCTAGTGAACTGCGAACTTCATTTACACTTTCAATTAGCTGGGGAAACTTTTAGAAATTGAAAACCCCAATTCTGTAATTTAACACAAATACAGAGTGAACCTATAGTGTAACTTTTAGGAAGACACAATTTTGTTAAAAGATATTCAGTAAATTATTTATTCTAGTAGAATCAGAGTTTTTAATAACAGACCACAAATTTGTTAGTAGGTATAGATGTACCATATGTATGTATTGGATTCATTTGTGATATTAAATAATTCACATTCATTGTTACTTATACGGATGGTAGTGTCTAGCTTGTTTGCTTGTAACTACATTGTCAACTGCATGTAAACAGGACATTAAAAATGAAGCCAGAGTTAAGTTAGTTTTTAATATTTTAATGTTATCCAATAGAGTACAGTTGATTCCAGATACTTCTTTTTAAAGTAGTTTTTATTATCTAAAATAATCTTTAAATTTAAACATATTTTTATGATTTTCTTTGCCTCTCCCAAGTCTGTACATTCCTATCTCCCTTCCTACCCTCCCAACTTCAAAATCTTTCCCAAAGAACAAACAAAACCAAATATAACAATGAAGTTCCCCCAAACAAAGAAATCAAAGTAAAACAGCACCCAGAAAGAAAAACAAAACAAAACAATATGACAATAAACTGTAACCAAGTAAAGACACACAAAATATTGTAGAGTCCACT